GCTTAGTATTGTATTTAACCCTATGACGATGAGTGGCTGACGGTAGCTTTGATTTGTGAACGTGCAATGCCGAGAGGCATATCTCAGTTTGGGTGAAGGGATGTGTCATGAATTTGTTTTCGCGTATCTGTTGACCGACTTAATTAGCTGATTATTAGCGAATTGCTGTGTTATGTCTGTCATCGTTTAGGTCTATTTGAAGTTTTGGACGGAACTTAGCTCAGTGATTTGGAACTAATTACCAGATAACCACCGCTTTTTAGACTACTCATTCTGACAGTTTATATTCATAGTTATTAATGTAGTGAACGATTAATCAAAAGATATGACGTATTCAGTACTTAGTGTGATTGGCTTTATGATTGAAGGTTACGCCCTAGAGTCTTTTTACTGTTTTGTAATTGGTTAGAGTTTTGAAAATGAATAAAGAGAGTTTGAGTTGGTCTTAAAGAGTACTCTACGATAGACGCAGTCTGAGAGTAGAGAGGCAGTCCTGGGCAGTCGAGAGTCGAGTCCAGGGGCGAGCCTTGAGGCAGTCCAGTCTTGGGCGAGTCTTGGTTCAGCCTTGTGAGAGTCTTGGGGACTTTTCCCCAGGGCGCTGTGTCTTATAGAGTGCTCCAAAAGATCGACTAAGACGAGAGTTGAAACGTATTTCGTTGTGTGTGTCTGATTTGACTGTAAAGTTAAAGTGACTTTCCCGATCCTGCACCTCGAGGGGACGAGATATCGAGACGAGACGAGGTTCCCCCCTGACAAGTGTAGAGAACCCCAGAGAGAAGAGTTTTTCCCCCTGACACGTGGTGTGAGAACCCTGGGCATTGCGTTTTACGCACATTGACGTCCTGTGAAGAGAAGTGAAATGGCGAAGATGTGTCTTTCTTGAGAACCGAACTAACTGGCTCGATGGCAGAGACGAAACCGCGCTTGACGACTAACACCGTTAACAGTATGGCACCGATGAACGACGCTGAAGACATGAAGATTTCAGAACCCCTTCGGAAGGACGAGTATCGTATAGGACTGAATAATTAAGAATTGAGCGACATTAAAGACAAGAAGATGACAAAGAACGACAACGGACTAACGCGACAAGAGAAAAGACGCTTATAGACTTTGACTTTAGCTATTTGCTTGAAGAACCGCTCGTTGGACACTGTAACTTACACTGTGTAACTTAAGATGTTGAACTCTTTTCCACAATCACAACACTATTGCTCAGTAATGTAATGTATTGCTGGTTTTTTTTATCGTTTTTACCGCTTTTTTTTTTTTGTGATGTTGAATTGTATGTGTGTAAGCGCCCAGATCTTTGTTTTGAAATGATATTTAGTGACGTTCGAGGTCCTTTATAACGATTTAAGCGCGCCTCAGTGGACAAGTATTTGCAACACAGTGTTTTGGGTTTTTGTGAAGATTTATGGAGTTTTAATGAGTTTATGAGTACGTATTATGATGGGGAAAATAATGCCCCAATGAGTTTTTTAAGAGTTTTGAGATTTGTCGATGTACAGAGATATCGACGTTTTAAGAGTTGTTTTTGTTTATGTGTTGTTTCCGAAATACTTCTGGCGTTTTTTGAGTAGAGAGCACCTTTGTAACGTTTTTTTAATGTCTTTTTGAGATGGGAGTATGGTGCGCTTATGTACGTATTGTTTGATATCGCAAGCTTTTGTTCATGATTGACAGGATTATATGTAACTCAGTAGTTTCTATCGTTTTGCCTTTTTCCCCGTCTTTTTTGCCAGAGGAGTAATGTGTTATGAAAGCGAATTTGTCTTTGCATTCTGTTTCCACGCCGTATGACTTTTGTTTAGATTAACGACTTTTGAGTTCAGTTGAAGTTTATAAGCGTATATGTCAGGAGTTTGATTAATAGCTTGTTTATTCATTGTTTATTAGTTACCGCTTTGCAATGCCTTAACCGAGAGACGCATCCCTGGTAATCACGTGATCATGCTGTCGACTGCAGCGATTGGCTGATCGCTTGGTTACACCGCCACGCCTTAGTTTTTTGACCTTTTGATATCGAGTTTGTAACCTTAGTAACGAGAGACAGTGCAGCGAAGTGTTACCCTCAGCGGACCCTTTTGAGAAAAGTGAGTCGATTGGTAGTCTTCCCTTGTTTTTTGATTTATAACCGTTGATATTTGTGACTTTATAACCATTGTATTTAGACTTTATAATCATTGTACTTAATTAGTGTGTTTTACTCTTTTTGATTTATCCTTTT